AATGCGAGAGGTGCTATCATATGCCCTTCTTAACGAGGGTATACGTAAAACCGAGACCGGCATGAACCCACATCATGATGGGTTAGGGCGCCATGAAATAACTGGTAACACACTGAAACTTACAACCACAAATGTCTTACTATAAGTGGAATAAGGGTTCTGTTCTTGGAAGTCTTTGATTTGAAACCTTATTTCAGTGTTAAACAAAGCAATTTACATATCAGTAACATTAAACTGCCAATAGAAAGGTTTGATACAGAATACAAAGTTTATCAGTTTGTAATTAAAACAAGTCAAACTCTGGAAGCTAAGCAGTCTCAGTAGATACCTGCATAAACCATATACATGTATTTTGATGTCTTATATTTGTACATATTTAACCATCCTCAACACTTATATAAACCCCACACTGCCTTGCTCCACATCGCACCCTCAACTTATTACCATCACTCCTATTTACACTTTCATTTGATAAATAAATTATTTAACTAAAATTTGGTATACTGTACTAAGATAAATAATGCCCTCCTTATTAAATATTAACACTTGGGCAGTAGCTACATAAATGATTGCCAATCAAGCCAGTAGTTCACAAGAGTTCTGGAGGTAATACAATTGGGATAATTTATAGAAAATATGTCCATTATCACATCCGTATATCGCTTTCCACATTGATTAAATAGCGAGTCCACTTTTTGAGGCAAATGCAAGAATTGTAACGTCATGTCAAAATATTAGCCATACTGTACTGTACACTGTTATAAATAATATACTGTACTGCACACTGTTATAAACTAAATTTTGAATTGCTTTAACCTGAAACAGTGATATTCTGTACTGTTTGGTCACATTAAAACTTTTTGGATACAGTATTTTATTTCCTATACAGCATTAAGAGAATTACAAATGACAATTTAAAACTACACAGATTTTAGCTTATCTTCCCACAGTAGGTTCTTTTGAATATTGTTAAATTCTGTTAGACACCCCAGTCTAAGATTTTTAATGTATCTTATTACTTAGGACTCATTATCCTAACTTAACCTACAAGTAGTGGTGGTTCTCCAAAAGGCATACATTTCATGTTTAAACATATTACTGCACAGGGGGTCCCCAGGTTACGAACAAGTTCCATTCCTGAGGACGTTCTCAAGTCAGAAATGTACACAAGTCGGAACACACTCTATGAGCACTATATTATAGCCCAAGTCCTTTAATACATCTTGAATCACTTAATATAAGAGAAAAGAATTAATTGAATGACAAAATACAGTAAAGTAAAAATTAAACCTGGGACTGGCTTGATGTAGAGATGGGCATTTGTAGGAGTGACAGGGGCTTTATTGGGATGGTTGAACTGAAACTTTTTCTTTCGGGCTATAAATACCTCTATGAATCTTGCTGTTTAAATTTAACTCATTCCCTCAATAAGACTGAAACCATCTGCTATTTCTTTTGTAATGAATCCCATTGGTTCTGGAGTTTGTTTCTACATACTTTTGACAAAATTTGTTTTCCAGTTCAATCAGGTCTTCATTGCTTAATTATTCAGCATTAGACTCCAAATTGCGTGACAACTGTGTGACATCATCCTCATGACTATCAAGCTGGAATTGGTTCCTAAGGTCTACCACTGTCTGTGTCACTTCCCCAACAGTGAGTGGGCAGTGTTTTTCCAAACATTATTTGTCCTTACCTTGAACCTGTTAAACCAGCCCCTATTAGCAACAAAATCTTGCCCATCACTTTCACCACCACACTTAGCCACAGCATATAATCTTCACTTTTTCCCAAATCAAGGCTAGACTTAGAGGCAGATCCCATTGATTTTGATCTTCACTCATATCACTAACAATCTTTCCATTTCATTAAACAATCCACTTTTGTTTAGTTATCACAGTTGAGTACATTGGTGAAGATCCTTTACATGTACAAGAATTTTCTATGTCTTTCAAATTGTTCTGACCGTTGACCGACTGAAACCCAACGCCACTCAATCACTGAGGGGGTTTCATCCTTTTCAGACCGCTTTAATTACATTAACTTTCACTTCCATTGTAATTGGTTTCTTTTCTTGGATGCACTATGTACCATCACTTGCATCAGGTTTGCATTTGGGAGCCATGATGAAGGTCGAAAAAGAGTTAATAATAATAATAAAACAGTTTGCACTTTGTACGTTTAGGCAGTGAGGATAAGTATACCGATGCTCCTGCCCTCAAGGCAGGTTTCTGTGCGACGATCACCCCCATGAGCCGCTTCACCTCCCTTCTACGCCACGCTAAACTAGTTCTCAAATAATTGCTACAAACTATTGTACTTATGTTGATTTTAAAGGATAATTGACTTCTTTCAGACGGGCGATGTCGTAAGTCGGGGACCCCTGTACTACTCTATTAAGGTTCACTGGATTCCTTTCTTCACAACATTAATTTATATATCTCTAACAAATATTTTACAATAGTGCTATATCTAGTTGAATGCAAATGTTGCTGGTGTCATATGGTTGTTAAAAATAAATAAATAAATAAAAATAATATAACAGACAAAAATTTACCATAATTCTACTATAAATGACTTATGTACAAAGAAAAGTGTCATGTTACACTTACCATGCCTTATGTCCTGAAACCCACGACTAAGAATTTTGGTAACATTCCTGTTGAGACTCGAACATTCAAGCTTTGGTCACTGTACCCAAATTCTTTGTTATGGGTTTTGATCACACCACTAGAGGTGTAAGATGACCTTTTCTTTGACTGTACATCTATAAATGATCTTGATCTAAGTACTTTGATGTTTAACCCCTTCAGTCCAAAGCTCAGTCTATTGCATCCCCCAGCCCAAGACTGAGAGAGAGATATATACAGTGGTCCCTTGGTTAACTAACACAATTGTTCCACAGAGTCATGTTGTAACCGAATCTATTATTTCAATGGGATATTAGGTATTGGTTCCAAGTCACAGAAAAAGTACATACAAAGTATACTGTATACCAGTAATAGAATTAACAAAACATTAAATATAAACTAAATACAGTACTGTACTGTACAGTATACTGTATAATAATAAATAAAAACAATAGAATACTGTATTTAACTTACTTTGAGGTGTGTATGTCATATTACTGGCAGCTTTGTTTACATATCAAACAGCTGATTGTAGAGGCAGTCGATGATGACAGCATATTCTTTTTACAGAGTGCATTGGTTCTAATGCCTTCTTCAATGTTTCATAATAATTTCTGCACTGTATATTATCAATATGTTAACTAAATTTCAGAATGACCAATAATTTTAATGTAAAAATGCAAAATATTCAAGAGAACCAACATAATCAATGTTCAGTCCACTGTAAACAAAGTTAAACTGAGAAGCCTTGTTTAGATCTCAATCAGCTGATGGCATAAAAACTATTCCTGTACTGTCTATATTATCAACATGTTAACTAAATTTCAGAATGACCAATAATTTTAATATAAAAAATGAAATAATCAAAAGACCAATTTTTTTGATATTTACTTACTGGAAGTGCGCAATAGCTGATGCACACAAACAAAACGTGTTTGTCGGTGATTTCATTAATCAAAGTTTGTTTGTTAATCGAACTGAAAATCCTTATGGGAGCTAATTAATCCCAAATTTTGTTAATCGAACTGCTTGTTAACATTATGTACACCTGTATATATATATATATATATATATATATATATATATATATATATATATATATATATATATATATATATATATATATATATATATATATATATATATATATATATATATTAGTGAACCTCACTTACACGTCAATTAAACCCACGGGCGGTCCAGAAAGTGAACAATACAACATATGGGATTAATGAAATAGAGACCAGGCTAACCCCTTAACTCCACTTTTCAGACACAATACCTCACGTTGTAGTAAAAATAAATTCTTAATTTTATGATGGTATGCACACACAATTAATAATTAAGAAAAATATCAATAATATTAGGTTTTCTTAACACTTACATTAGTAGAAAAGATGGCTGGGCACGCGAGGATGGAGGGTTGGTTCGAGCAGAGGGCTGATTATTGGCCCTCACCTGTATCAATTGTATCACTATCACCACAGAGGCTTGCAGGGCCTCTTTGTCAAACCCTCAAAATCCATATAAGTCCATATCCTCACCTATCATTATCACTATCACTGACTTGGGCGGCTGTATGGTGGTGGCGGGTGAGAACTCGGTAATGTTTTGATGACTGGCGACCTTGTCGCCTGCTGCCGCGCCCGATCTCCGTAAAGGTACACAGTGAGCATTCCGGCAGGTGCGTATAACGTGAAGCATGCAGCGAGTTGACTGTGTATATATATATGTATATATATATATATGTATATGTATAATATATATATATATATATATATATATATATATATATATATATATATATATATATATATATATATATATATATATATATATATATATATATATATATATTATATATATTTATATATATATATATATATTTCATATAAATCACAATGACGTGGATAAGATAAATCTTGATAAATCTGCGGAGAAAATGGAAACAGCGAATGCTTAGCTTCGTCTTTATTCCAAGACATCTTCAGAAGACAACTGGATTACATGGACAGAGAGAGGCTTAAATATACGGGTGACCTAAAAACATGAGGTCAGTCATAATGATGACATCACTAATCCCCCAACATACCGTAGAGGAGCTTAAGAAAAGTGATGACGTGACTAGACAGGTCAGGTCAGAAAAAGGGACCCTGTATATTTCTCTCTCTGTCCATGTAATCAGTTGCCTCTGAAGATGTCTTGAATAAACAGCAAATTATATATATATATATATATATATATATATATATATATATATATATATATATATATTATATATATTTATATATATATATATATATATATATATATATATATATATATATATATATATATATATATATATATATATATATATATATACACAATGTTTAAAAACACTTGTACAGTAATTAACTTTGTTATATTCAATACAAGCCAAGAAATGAGCCATCATTATGACCCTTTCTTCAAGCTAATTTGAATAATTTACATGATACAATGTTACACAGTACTGTACATTTACCCTACCCTTTACTTTGCCCATAAAAAGTGTTCTTTACAAAATGAATGACTAAGATATAGATTTTGTAAGGCACTTGTACTAAATATTTGTCATCACCTGTAAAATACCACATGTTTACAACACAATATCATTATAATATTATCCACCTATTTTACTCCTATTATAATCAAGGGATAGATGACATCTTCTCTATCATACAAAATCAACTGTCATGAAATTAACTTAAGGCACTTCAAAATAATACACATTTTACTTTCACCGACTTTATGTTATGTTCTAATGTGTGTCTGCTACCACAAAAAAATGAAGACTTCACACAACTCTTAAGTCTTGCTGATATGGAGTCACAGTAAATTTTTCTTTATTCCTGTGACTCAACACTTGAGACTTTTTTCCAATCTGAGAAAGTGTTTTAATGTCACGATGTTTACACTGTGATGTTATGCATGGAGGGCAACTACCTGATGGCGTCAGCTTGGGTATCCGGTGACTGTTTTGTTTTACCAAACTGGAGCACACAGGAGGCAGTAACTGGCTTGATGAAGCCCTTGTTGGATTCTTCACACCTGCTCATGACAAACAAATATATATTAAAGAATGAATCAAAGTTTTCAGTCATACTGCAAGGGCTACTCTTCATAATATCCAGTTCACAAAAAATGTTCTTGCAAAGTTAGGATTTAAGTCAGGTCATAAGAGAACACATCCTCCACAGTCCCCAGCCTGTTGAAAAAGGCAACTAGAAGGGTAAAATGAGGAATTTTTTTGAGGATAAAGGGAATGCTTATGATGGTTACTTTTCTGTGGTTAAATGGTTTCAGTAACCAACACCCTTTAAAACCTCAAAGATACTGCCCTAAAGTTTTTCAATACCAGTATATATTATTTAGCCATAGTTGTACAGGCAGTCCCTGATTTACTAAGACCAAGTTTATGTAAAATCAAAGTTATGGGGAGGGAGAGAAAAAAAATCAGGTTTCAACTTATGAAAAAAATTAATAAATAAATAAAACAAAAAAATCATATTTTGGGGGGAAACATCAGAAGATGCAGACAATTACTGTAACCTGAAAAAACACCAGAGTACTGTAGAGTCGGCCCTTAACATACGCGGGGGTTACGTAACAGAGATACCCATGGATGTTAAAAATCAGCGTATTTTTGCTGCCCCCCCCCCCCAAAACAAACCCTGGCCCCCCATGTCCTTATTTACCGTATATACCTGTGTATAGTTCGAGTTTTTAAGACCAAATTATTTTACAAAAAATTGGGGGTTGACCTCTAAACGGGTAATAGTTTCGTTAGGTTGAAAAATATTTACCAGTAACTACCAGTAAACAATGGAAACGATGCACCAACGCACCACCAGCTGTGAGTGTCAGTACAGTTGCCAGGGCAGATCTCTTGCGTCATCATAGCAAGTCCAAAGTAGCCAAATCCATGGTATGGTAGCACAGGACGATGTAAAACATAAAGTATTCATTTATTAAAGTTTATTTATAGATACTGTACATAAATTTTTATTCATAACATTTGAAACAACAATCTTTGTTAATTAAATTTGAAACAAAAGAAAACTACGATACCGTATTTTCATTAAAATATTACATCACAAGTATATTTTACCTTAACTGTGACTGAATGAATATACGTATTCTCAGAAATAAATATGGAAATATAATATTTTTGCTGGAATGACGTACATATTACAGTGGAAACATGAAAACAATGACTTTCGCTTTCTTTCGTTGTTCAAAAGATTTTACCGTAATCGCTTTTCGAATGGTTTTCAGTTAAAAAACTGTTGTACTCGTACTGTATTACAATAATATTCTATCCTATCATTAGCCTTATAATCCCACAACTGAAAACCATTCAAAAAGCGATTACGGTAACATCTTTTGAATGAAAGAAAGAGAAAGTCATTGCTTTCGTCACAATTTTATCCCACTTTCTACTGTAATACGTACATCATTTCAGCAAAAATATTACATTTCCATGTTCTCAGAAATAAATGGTAGTTTTGTTGAAACGTAATGTACAATATTTAATATTAAAATGCAAAAATAGCTATAAAAACAATTAATACACCCATAATGTACTGGCTGACATCTCCACTTGTCCCTGCTCCCGCGTCCAAAGTCACCACCCCTCCCAACTCGCTCTCTCCTCTGCCTCCTCCACCCCCTCTCTACTGCCGACAACGAACACAAATGTTTTGTGAATAACTGCACCTCCACTTCCTATGTACAGTACTGAACTGTACTGTGCTGTGCATTTTTACAAACAATAAACATGACAAGAAAAGCTATTAAAAAAAAATAGATAAAAATTTCACTTTACTGTACAGTACCTATCCTCGGCGACAGGACGGGGGTCATCGTCACTCAATTCCATAACGGGTGGTGAAGTGGGGGCGACGGTGGATTCAGCTGCTTCCTCAATGCCGCCAGTGATTGATGGTGTTAAATCTCTCCTTCGGTGATCAAAGAACATGGTGATGGGGAGTTGTCGTCTCTTTCTTTTCATTTCTTCCATGATGTTTTTGTATGGAGCAAAAACGTTATCCATCCCTCGTATGAATTTCAGGGCACGCACCATGGAGGGGTCCATACTATAGGCCAGGTTTTTCAGTGCCTCAATATTCCTGGTCATCTCCCCCAACTTCTCCAATGTTATTTCTTGGTGCTCTTCCTCTTTCCCTTTCGCTTCCTCTTCCTTGCCTGAGCCTACTAACTCCTGTAGATCCTCCTCGGTCAGCTCAGTGTCGTGCTCTTCAATTAGCTCCCTAATCTCGTCCTCTGCCATGTCCTGGAAGCCTTCAGCAGCCACTTTCCTTGACAGTGCCAGGGTCTTTCTAAATATTTTCATTAAAACCCATCAAAATCATTTTCCTTGTCATCGTCTTAAGCACCAAACAGCTCCTCCCAGTCTTCTCCTTGAACAGGGCTAGAGGGTACGTGTTTTTCGAATAGTTTTCAGTTAAAAAAATGTTACAGCACATGTATATTTTACCTAAACTGTGCCTGAATGAATATATTCTCAGAAATAAATAGTAGTTTTGCTGAAACGTGATGTATTTCAATGTAAAATAGGATAAAATACATGACGAAAACAAAAGACTTTACCTAACCTTCCGATGTTCAAGAGATGTTACTCATTTTTTTAATAGTTTTCGGTTAAAATACTGTTATATTACAATGATATTCTATTCATACTGTGCTTGATATACTACATTCACGGAAATGTAATATTTTTGCTGAAATGAGATACGTATTACAGTGGAAAGTGCGATAAAATCGTGACGAAAACAATGACTTTCGCTTTCTTTCCTTCAAAAGATGTTACCGTAATCGCTTTTCGAATGGTTTTCAGTTAAAAAAAACTGTTGCATCACAAGTGAATTAGGATAGAATATTATTGTAATACAACAGTTTTTTAACTGAAAACCATTCGAAAAGGGATTACAGTAACATCTTTTGAACGAAAGAAAGTGAAAGTCATTGCTTTCGTCACTTTCCACTGTAATATGTACGTCATTTCAGCAAAATATTACATTTCCATATTCTCAGAAATAAATAGTAGTTTTGCTGAAACTTAATGCATTTCAATGTAAATTAGGATAAACTACATGAAAACAAAAGATTTTACCTCACCTTCCGATGTTCAAGATATGTTACTCGTTGTTTTAGTAGTTTTCGGTTAAAATACTCTTATATTAGTGATATTCTATTCATACTGTGCTTGATATAATACATTCACGGAAATGGCAGATGGGCATCTCCCGCACACACTCCATTATTAGTCAGTTCTTTAGTGTGTGCCACACCATCCTCCCCCTCTCAATCCACCCAGTACATGGATGAGGGAAGGGAGGGAGCTGTAGCACCCCAATATTTTGGGTATAAATTGCACCACAGAGTATCTAGGACACCAGAAATAATATTCAGCACTCCCTGGTAATATTTGGTTCCTGTAGTACTGACCCAGTAGCACCCAGCAACCTCCTCCATTCATGTCAGGCCAACCATTGTATGCAGAATGTCTCCACTATTACGGTAAATCCAGTGTTGTAGATTTTATTTAATTTACAGTTCAATTCATTTTATCTGAATTCCAACTATCTGAATCTTTCAGGTATCCCAACTTTGTCCCTGTTCAGTACAAATTCAAATTTAACCCAACAATCTGAACACAACTAAAGTAATTTAATCATGTGTCTGCCACCAGTAGTGTCATAACCACTTTATAAAAAAAAAATTGCTATGATAAACAACAAAATTGATCTGTAATATATCATAATACAACAGCACACAATTTATGTACAAAAGTAGCTCTTTCCACACTCAAGTCATCATCTAAGCGACACCACACAGTCCAGTCAGGCAGTCAACCAGCTGACTCCGGGACGTGAGTGTATGCTATGACGTCACATCGGGGGAAGGGACCCAGGTGAGTCGGTGACGGAGTGTGCATGCACGCACACTCACTTGAGTGAGTGAGGTCCTGTGACACCAGACCAAGTGGTGTCCCCATGATGCTACGACACCATGTAGTGAATGAGTTGCTACAGCATCATGTGAGGTTCCTCATAACACCATCTTTGAGGGAATTACTACACCACGTGATGCCCCTCATAACACCATCTGTGAGGGAATTACTACACCACGTGATGCCCCTCATAACACCATCTGTGAGGGAATTACTACACCACGTCAAGCCCCTCATAACACCATCTGTGAGGGAATTACTACACCACGTCAAGCCCCCCATAACACCATCTGTGAGGGAATTACTACACCACGTGATGCCCCTCATAACACCACCTGTGAGGGAATTACTACACCACGTCAAGCCCCTCATAACACTATCTGTGAGGGACTACACCACGTGAGCCCCTCATAACACCATCTGTGAGGGATTACTACACCACATGACGCCCCTCATAACACCATCTGTGAGGGAATTACTACACCAAGTGAGTTCCCTCATAACATCATCTGTGGGGGAATTACTACACCACATGAGGTCCCTCATAACACCATCAGTGGGGGAATTACTACACCACGTGAGGCCCCTCATAACACCATCTGTGAGGGAATTACTACACCACGTGAGGTCCCTCATAACACCATCTGTGGGGGAATTACTACACCACGTGAGGTCCCTCATAACACCATCTGTGAGGGAGTTACTACGCTACGTGTCTGCTGTTCAACACCTCAGCGTACATGATCTACATGACCTCCACTGTAAACATTAAACTGGATGTTCACTGTATGTCCTTTACCTTTCTCTAATGAAGGCTTTTGTTAAACCACCATTGTATGTAAAAGTCATTTATGTCCAATGTATATTTTCAGCCTTAGGGCTGCAGAACTTAAAAAGTCTCTCTCTCTCTCTCTGCTCTCTCTCTCTCTCTCTCTCTCTCTCTCTCTCTCTCTCTCTCTCTCTCTCTCTCTCTCTCTCTCTCTCTCTCTCTCTCTCTCTCTCTCTCTCTCTCTCTCTCTCTCTCTCTCTCTCTCTCTCTCTCTCTCTCTCTCTCTCTCTCTCTCTCTCTCTCTCTCTCTCTCTCTCTCTCTCTCTCTCTCTCTCTCTCTCTCTCTCTCTCTCTCTCTCTCTCTCTCTCTCTCTCTCTCTCTCTCTCTCTCTCTCTCTCTCTCTCTCTCTCTCTCTCTCTCTCTCTCTCTCTCTCTCTCTCTCTCTCTCTCTCTCTCTCTCTCTCTCTCTCTCTCTCTCTCTCTCTCTCTCTCTCTCTCTCTCTCTCTCTCTCTCTCTCTCTCTCTCTCTCTCTCTCTCTCTCTCTCTCTCTCTCTCTCTCTCTCTCTCTCTCTCTCTCTCTCTCTCTCTCTCTCTCTCTCTCTCTCTCTCTCTCTCTCTCTCTCTCTCTCTCTCTCTCTCTCTCTCTCTCTCTCTCTCTCTCTCTCTCTCTCTCTCTCTCTCTCCTTTTTTACTTATTTTAGTTTTTTATTATATTTCTTCATTTCTAAGCCACATTAGAGTACATTAGTGTAATTCTTAGTCTTTTGATCTGTAATAAAGAAAATGGTTTACTAGGGCAAATTATAATGTCTTGAGTGATATAGATTACATGTTTATTTACATACTCAAACTTGAATATTGAACTGATTAAGCTTTCATAATGATTGCAATAATTTTCTTTAAATTTCAGAACAATTATTGTAATGTTTTTTGGCAGTCCCAAAGTTTTTTTTTTTCTGAAACAAACAGACAAGTGAGTAACACGGTAACTGGGTAATGGTCAAAAAAAAGCACAGATTTGTAGAAAAACGGATGTTTGAAACAGGAATTTGCGGGGTCAGGGTGTATTAATTCCTACATGCCCTTTCTAATTCCCTTTTAGAGGCATATATTTTTTCAACACTTAAACAGTATCATTAGTAATACAGTAGTACCTAAATAAACACTGACAATAGCATGTGCCAGAATAACAAAATGTCTCACCTTATTGCCTGGATCTCCACCCTGACTAGGTATCCCAGTGACTAGACTCTTGGGACGTGTGAACTTGAAGGAATTACCAAAAATCTCCTCTAGCTCACTGTCAGTGCTGGAACCTTCAGGAGATGGTTGCCACTGTCTGCTGCTGGAACATAAAATGAAATGCCATAAATAGTTCTTTCACAAAATAATTACAGTAAAATATCTTTCAATCAAAAATCTACTTTACAAAATAATAAACACTGATCTAAGCATTCTAAGTTCCCATTCTATGGTTGAACCCTACAGGTCATTGTGACATCTTAAACTTTACCGTTATGTTTACTGAGCACTGCGATTAACAATGCTTGACCTATGACCAACACTGGGTCAAGTATCAGTCTTCAAGACTTCTTATTTGCAGAAGATGCATAAATAGTGACAAGGATGCATCAGTTAATGTTCAAATGATAGATGACAGAATTGCAAATATGGCCGTGAATTCAGACGAATCATTTGACAGTGAAAAAATCCAGGAATGATTAGTCAGTTTGTTGTTCTAGCTGACTGGCAGAAGTGTGGTTGTAAATACTTACAAGGGTAAAGATGCACTTAAACATGGGAAATATAGGGAACTGGACTGTTAGATAAGGTTATGAAAGTTGAGGAAAAGGTAACCAAGAAACTGATATGGGAGAGAGGGGACATAAGCAAAAAAATGCAGTTTGGATTCATGCCAGGTAGGGAGACTACCTGGGTACTATTTATGGCCAGGTAACAAGAGAAATGTCTAGGGATGGAGAGAAAGTTGTACTTTGTATTTGTAGACTTCGAGAAGGCATTTGAGTTTCCATGTGAAATATTGGCCACAAAGAGGGCATTGAGAAAGCATTGTCTTGTTCACGTGGTTATGGCATTATATGAAGCCTCAAGAGCCACTGTGAGAGTAAATAGCGAGGAAAGTGAGGAATATGAAGTGAAAATATGGGTTAATCTTCAGCCCCCTTCTGTTTATCACAGTAGTCTCACCCAAAAGTTTGTTAACTCTCCCATCCAGCTATTACTGCACTGCCTGCTTCAGATGTTTGAAACTGTCTCGGTACCAACCAGAACATGAAACCAATACGAATGAATCTAAAGGTTCGAAGTAAGAGACTCATGATATGATGAAAGCAAAAGACAGCCAAATACTGTCTGTAAGAAAGGTGTTAGCAACAACTCCATAATGTGCGAGTGTTGAAGGTGGGTACACAACAGGTGCAGTCGAGTAGATGGCAAACTGCAGGTTGTTGTTGACTTTAAGCTTAAATTTCTTGTATCTGCAGGAACCAAGCAATGCTGGAGAAACTCAACACTGGGATACAGTACTGTATATCCCTGGACTGTATTGAGGAGTTCTGTTACCTGGATGACATGATCATTGCTGGAGGGGTGCTTGAACTAACTCAGTTACAGGAGTCAGAAAAGGCTGGAAAAAGGTTTGGGAGTTGCTGCCTTTTATTGATGGCAAGACTACCTTCCCTCTGCATGAAAAGAAGGGTGTATGCAACTGACATGGGAAGTATGATGTTGTATGGCAGTGAGGCATGGGCAGTTAAAAAGGATGACATGACACACAGTAGCTACACAGGTTTGGGCAAGCTGAAATGTGAATGGTGAGGTGAATGTGCAATATGCCACAGAAAGATAGGAAACTTTATTTAGAGTTATAAGGGCAGCTGGTTATTCAGAATACAATATTGACAATGTTATGCATACAGGTATGCTGAGATGATTTGGGTTTGTGGAGAATGGTGGAAACCAATTGGATAAAGAGAAGCATGAGCTTAAACATGGAGAGCCAAGAATGATATAGGGGGAGGGTGTAAGAAATTACATCAGTTAATAACCTGCACAAAAGTGGAAAATGGGTGTAAAATTCTTTTTGTTGATGGTAGTGATAATGACGATGATGATATGCATTAGAAGAAACTGTATCTTACCTATTTTGATGACAACCAACTAAAGGTTTTGATCCAGCACTGACATTCGACTGGAGATGTACAAATCCTACAGGTACTTGGTCACCTGACCCTGTGGCCGACAGCTGAGACTGCAATCCTTGAGACTGGGACAACTGGATCTTAGAAAGATTGCCACTGGATACTGATGTAGCGGAACATTTTGTTGGCTGGGAGTTCATGGGAGATTTTGAAGAGCTCACTCTGGCAAAAGCCCTCTGGCCACTGTGGTTACCAGACACTGTGAAGATGGTGCAAGGACTGGGGTTGCCTTGTAATGACTCAGAAAAAGTTTCTCCTTCACCCAAAGGATTGCTGGACCCAGTCACTTTCTGACCATTAGTATAGGTCCCTGTAGACACTTGCTGGAATCCTCCATTAACATGCATGACAAGTTTTGATGGAACTGAACTTTGACTAAAAGTTTGTGTTTGTACAGCTGGTAACACTGTAATGACCGTAGAGGACTCCTGTTGATTTAATCCTTCAGTCCTCGTTATGACCTTGATCACCTGCATGTTCTTTGGAAGAGTTGAAGTGAGAGCACCAGTGTGGGACCCAGGCTGAGCTACAGTGAGAGGCACCAGTCCACCATTCACCATCAACACTGGGGAAGTCTTCACATTTTGGCTGGTTGTGCAAAAAAATTTATTCATTGGTTGGCCATAGTTCGAGTTGCATGACTCTATTAAGCTGCCTGATGTAAAGGCTTCCCTTGCTTCATGATGGGAAGCCTTATATCCCTGAAAATGAAAATACAGTATAATTAAATTTCCATATTATTATTATTATTTGCTAATTAC